TCATAGAAGCCTATAATGGAGCCGTTTCTATACTATATCCTAAATACGCTTGGTATATTTATCCGGGTTACTTGCAATATGCCATTTATCAACGTTATATGAAATATTACAAGGATAAATATCGTTTAGTAGCCATACCAAATACTTTGTACGAACATTTGATTAAAAACGAATTAATTAAATCGGAACATATTATATTTACCTCGGAGGATATTTATGAAGAATATGCCGAATCGGAGGAAGTTAATTTTGTAAATTTGATAGTAAGTTGTGGTAGACAAACGGGACAACAACAGCAACAACATTTAAGCAATGGAGAGGAGAAGAAAGAAAGTGAAACTTTATTAAAACAAATGCTTAATCAGGCGCCACATACCTTGGTGGCGCAAATAAGACCCTTGAAAGTGTGTCAAACTAATTGTGTATTTATACAGGTAATGCTATCTATAGTATTAAGAATATTTTTGATACTAAAATCATGTTTTTTTGTTTCTTTTACAGGAAAACTTCTTTTCGAATTTAATGGATCGTTTTAATGTCAACAATGCCCATATTAATAGAACTAAACTTTGGGCTAAATTAGATCATCTCAATGAGCAGCAAACTATACCTAATATAGCCATTAAGGCACATGTCTATCTTCTTGCCAATCCTTATGAATTACCGGCCGAAGTTTCGGAACTAATATTGAGTAATTACTTTAATACTCCACGTATTTTACATCGTGGCCATACGTATCGCATAGAAGTCAATGCTGATCTAATAGGCACCTCACAATATGCTCATTACTATCTAATATTTGCCTACATGAAATTTGTCCACTTTCGTTGTGTCCACTTAGAGGTGAAGGGCAGTGAATTTGAAATGCAGGCGGTGGTAGCTAAAGGTTTTACAAATCTTGTCCAAATAGCTCATACTCATCAATTCTTACCACGTCAATCTTTAGATGATTTGTGCATTGCGGAAGGTTATCCTTTGGGTTTGCAAGCGTCCTATGATTCTCTACGCTCCTCCATAGATGCTTTTTTGCCACGCAAATCCACTTGTTTATCTTCGAAACATATCTATCCCATGTTCATTTTACAGGCTGAAAGGGGTGCTGGTAAAACGAAACTGGTAAATGCAGTGGCCCGTGACTTGGGCATGCATTTGTTTGGAGTGGATTGTGCCGAGATTGTCTCGCAAGTTCCTTCGCATACGGAAATGAAATTGAAGGCAGTTTTTGCCAAGAGCCAAATAAGTGAACCGCTGCTGATATGTTTTCATAATTTTGAGGTGAGTCTCTGAAATATTCAATTTAAAATATTTCGAAAATTTAAAATTAATATGGAATTTTTCGAAATTTATGAAAATTCTTTAAAATTTTATGAAATTCATAAAAAAAAACTTTGCTGAAATCTTTCCACAGATTTTCGGCATCGACAATGAGGGCAACGAAGATTTACGTCTCTTAGCTGCTTTTCAAGTGCAAACCCAGGAACTTTTCACCCATAATCGTAAACATCCAGTGGTCATTGTCGCCCTGACCAGTGATAAACATATTAAACCCATGATACAGCGTATGTTTTTGGAAGTTATACGCATTGAAATGCCCACAAAGGAAGAAAGATATGAAATTTTAAAATGGTTGCACAAAAAGGAATTGTTTAAGAATAAAGTCTTTAATTTGAGAGACTTGGAGCATTTGCCGCTCTATGAGCTGGATATGCAGGAAAGATATTTAAATAAATTGCAAACAGATTGGCAGGGAACTAAGAAAGTTTTACGTGAAGTGGCGGATAAATCGCAAGGATTTCTTTTGGGTGACTTACAGCTGTTGCATAATAATGCTGTGCGCCAACAGAGAGAGGAGGAGGCAAAGAAACTTAGTTTCGAGCATTTTGCTTATTATTTGAATATAATGCAGGCTTCCTTTGCTGATAGTTTGGGTGCACCCAAAGTGCCCAAGGTATTGTGGTCGGATATAGGAGGTTTGGCTAAATTGAAAGATGAAATACAATCTAGCATAGGTTTGCCTCTTAAACATGTTCATTTGATGGGTAAAAACCTAAGGCGTTCGGGTATTTTGCTTTATGGTCCACCCGGCACAGGCAAGACTTTAGTGGCCAAGGCTGTGGCTACGGAATGTAATTTAAGTTTCCTATCGGTACAGGGCCCTGAACTACTTAACATGTATGTGGGCCAAAGTGAGCAGAATGTCAGAGAAGTTTTCGCTCGTGCTCGTTCGGCAGCACCTTGTGTTTTATTTTTGGATGAATTGGATTCTTTGGCTCCAAATCGTGGTGTTGCGGGTGATTCGGGTGGTGTTATGGATCGTGTTGTGTCTCAGCTTTTAGCTGAAATGGATGGCATGGGTGGTGATGCCAGTAAACCTATATTTATATTAGCTGCCACTAATCGTCCGGATTTAATAGATCCTGCACTTTTAAGACCCGGACGTTTTGATAAATTATTCTATGTGGGTCCTTGTTCAACGGCTGATGACAAGGCTTCGGTTTTGCAGGCTCAAACAAGACGTTTCAAGTTGGCCAATAACTGTAATATGCAAGAGATAGCGGAAAAACTTAAGGGAGAAATGTCGGGTGCGGATTTGTATTCAATATGCTCGAATGCTTGGTTGTCGGCGGTGCGAAGGACCATAGACCGCCATATGAAGGGTAAGCGGAATGTTATGTCTTATGTTATAAATAAAATAAACACTTCGTTTTTTGTTATTCAGGCGATTTAAAAGATGAAGACTTGGTGTCCGATAATGTGGTGGTGGAGGTCGAAGATTTACCAGATCATTTGGTAAATTTGTACCTCTATTAGTAGACAGGACTTGGAGTATTTAATAAACTAAAGTCCTCCTATAGTGTTTGAAACTTAAACATTTGATCACAATGGTTTTTAAGCCCAAAAATTTTTATAGATTTCTGAGTAATTTGGTACTTGGTTTTAGGGTTGTTGGTTTTGTTATTTATTTAATTTTTTATTAATAAATTGTTAATAGTTTTTTACAATTTCAATGTTATACTTTGATTTCAATCATGCTATGATTTCAATATCTGGTTTTAATTAAAAGCTTTTTATGTCTATATTTTCTCAATTTAACACAATTTTATCAATATATTCTTGCATACACAAAGGTAATTATAAATAATTTTATATGTAAAGTAAAAAAGAACGAAAAAGAAAGAAAGAAATAATTATATAATTAATTGTAATGAATCATATTTAAACAAATTTGTGGTTATAAAGAACCCAGCATTGGTTTACGTCCAGGCCAAGCTTCTTTGGCATATTTCTTCTTTTGAGGACCAGAACTATTAGATACATCGGCGGCGATATGATGATGATGATGAGGATCCTCATAGCGTACTGGAAAGATATAAAAGTATAGTATAGGTTATAGAGCTAATCGTCAATGTCTCGCTCATAAACTTACCATTTGCATTAGCCAATGCTAATTTGTGTGCCACACCAGAATTCATAGGCGTCGCACTGACCGTCTCTGCTATAGGTTTTACATCCGGCGCTGGATTTGGTAACAGCAACCCCAATTTGGCACCAATAGCCAAAGGACCAGAAACATCAAATTCTGCCGATGTAGATCTAGAGGCATGACTATCATGTGCGCTTGCAGCCGGTAAACCTGATACAAAGATGTGGGCGAGGAAGGCGTAGCATTGTAGGTGAATTGGGATTATTACCAAGAACTTTTCATGTGCTCCTGATAATTTTGTTGGAATAATTGATGGCTGCTTGTGTGTGTAAGATTATTATGGCTCGCTGTAGAGGCTGTTGTGGTAGTAGCTGATATACCCATATTAGAGCCATCGTAACGAGCTCGTTTAGCCGGCACCACAGTGGTTTGTACTAAGTTGCGGAAACGTCCAACATTGGGATCAACATCTTCGGGATTTATGATAATTTCCTCATCATTAAGGTAACATTGCGGCGTTTGCGTGACGATTTCTTTTAGGATTTAAAAATATTAAACTCTATTCTTTATTTTTGTGGGAATTTAATTCCAATTTACCTTTCGTATATCATCGGCTATACCTAGCATGGAAATTCTTCTATTATGTGCAGTATTATATTCCGTGAGATTCTGCAATGGATATAAAAATTAAGAAAATTCATAAAAAATCTAAAATTTCTCAAACTTACATCCAATTCAGTTTGTGTTTCGGGCAAACCCAATAATGCTCCATCACTAGTTTCATTCATGGGTATATCCTCCATTATACTATTACGTTGACCGGCCGAGGGTCTTTCACGTAAAATATAGCGCCTAGTAGAGGCACCAAAATGAAAAGTGCTATTAACATGCAACTGGGTAGGTTTGTGGGCCTCTAAACGCATGGTGCCTATATAAGTGCCATGAGCTTAAATGAAATAAGAAAATCACTTTACGCTCTATATAAAAAAATAATTTATATACAACATACTAGAACCCAAGTCCACCAAATATGCTATATTCAAATGCTTGTGATACACAAAAGCGGCATGTACCCGCGAGCAGGAAGCATGATCTATGCAAAAATCATTCATTTGTGCATTACGCCCAAATAAATAACATTTCTTTTCATCCACCATTAGTTTCTGTACAAGTTTATCATCCTTTAAAACATCCAAATGCAAACCAGTTGGTGGCTTGCCGGCCCTTTTTGTGCAGCAAGGAAAATTAATTTCGTTTTTTATTAGTTTTTCAAAGCAATTACTTACCATGAAGGTATTTCATAGCTATTAGCCATTTTTTGTATTAAAATCTATTTAATACATTAAAATTATTGTAGAAATTTGTGATAATTTGTTAATTTTTATGGAATTTTAATATTTCTTCTGTTTTTACAAGTTTTTTTGTGTCTTCTTCTTTTCTTAATAAATGTCAGTTTTATAACAAACCTGCAATTGTTTAACTCACAAGAGCTGCCACATATATGTTATGTTGCAAAAACTTTTACATCTGGTAGTTCTTTTACATTAAGTAATACAGAGTTGTTATAAAGACATTTTTTTAACTGACGTCCATTTTTTATTATAAAAATTTCACATTTTGAAGTAAAATAAAAAAAATCCATTTTAACAATTTATTACTTAAAAATAATAAACGTACAATAACAATTTACATTTTACAACTATGAGGATATCTTGGAAAAGATATAACATCTCGAATATTCTTAACACCTGTCAATAATTGCAAATAACGTTCGAAACCCATGCCAAAGCCACCAGTTGGTAGACCGCCAAATTTACGTAGTTCCAAATACCAGTCTAAACCTTGAGGTAACTGAGGATGGTTCCTTAGAATTTTTTCATCATTTTCACGCAAACTGCCACCACACAGCTCACCCACTGTAGGCATGAGCAGATCTAAAGCATGTACCAATGAAGGATCTTCACGTGATTGCTTCATGTAGAAGGGTTTTTGATTCGCCGGCCAATCCACCACAAATACTGGACTTTTACAGTGTTCCACCAGGTAGAGTTCTTGTTCTTTTGAGAATCCCTCATTGGGTGTTACGGCAGTTTTGAATTTCTTTTTATTTTCCATAATTATAGCCAAAGCCTCTTTATAGCTGAGTACAGGCCATGATTGATCTAGCCAATGGAATGTCACTGCTTCACCCAAATTCTTTTTCTGGCAAAACTCCACATCTTGGGCATTATTGTCAAGCAATTGTTTTGTTGTTACCTTGAGCATTCGCTCTATAAATGAACAGAGTTGCTGTATGTGCTCCAGGTAGACTAGCTCAGCTTCAAACATATAAAATTCGGATAAATGCAGGGGAGATTTACAATTTTCCGCTCTAAAAGCAGGACCCAAACAGTAAGTATTGCCTAAGCCATAAGACATGGATTCTAAATGCAATTGACCAGAAACGGTTAAATAAACCTGGGAATCGAAATAACTATGATCCAAGCTTACTTCAGGACGAGACATTTGTTTTAGTAGTTCCTGGGAATCAGGTTTTACGGTAAAGACCTGAAAGTTTAAAACAAATTTAGAATTTCAAATAAAATGTCAATATAAAAATAATACAACCTCTCCCGCTCCCTCGCAATCGTTTGTGGTCAAAACGGGTGTATTTATCTGCACAAAATCATGTTCATCCATAAAATCATGTAAAGCCTTTTGAGCCTTATGTCTTAAACGCATAGTGGCAGCTACAATATCTATGCGCGAACGTAAATGCAAATAATCTCGCACATATTCAGGAGCATGTTGTTGTTTGGGAGAAAAAGGGAAACCATCCGTTAAATGACCATCAGCTACATATTTACAAACAAACAATTAGTTTTTCTTTTTATCAAGGTTCTAAACAGTAATATATTTACACCTATCACATCCACTTCTTGAGCATGCAATTCATAATGACCATGAGGAGCCAACTGCACTTTACCGCTGGCCTTAACTAAACTGCCGGCCGTTATAGATTTAATGGCTTCAGTTTTGGGTAAAACTATTTGAAATTTTTGTGCTGTTGAACCATCATTTATATCCAAAAAGATGTTATTTTTTAATTTTCTTATGTTTTTTATCCAACCCTAAGCGGAGCAGAAAGATGTGTAAATACAATTCCGTTATAACCTCACAATTGGTGTAAATTAGGTAGTTTATGGAATACTTACTCGTACACCTACTGAATCCCCAGGCTCTTTTGTTTTAGGTATTAAATTAATACGCTGAAAATTGCTACAAGATCTTTTAATTAATAACATTGTAAAGAAAGATTGAAGATTTTTGTGAAAAAAAATCTTAAAGCAAATTATTTATTATGACAGCCGGGATATGTTGCAAAATCAACAACAGCTGACTGACAGTAATTGTATGTTATTAAGCGTTTATGTGAAATGTTATTAACAGCAACAGGGTGTTTCGAAACTAGTTTAATAAAAACGTTATTTTTTGAATTAGAAATACAGAATCTGTAAAAAAGCGTACTGCATATATAGATAGATGGATAGATAGGTAGATAGATTGATAGTATAGATATATAGATAGATAGTGCTAGATAGATAGATAGATAGCTAGATAGATAGATAGATAGATGATCGATAGATAGATAGATAGATAGATAGATAGATAGATAGATAGATAGTAAGATAGATAGATAGATAGATAGATAGATAGATAGATAGATAGATAGATAGATAGAATTAGATAGCTGATAGATAGATAGATAGATAGAAGATAGATAGATAGATAGATAGATAGATAGATAGTAGATAGATAGATAGATAGATAGATAGATAGATAGATAGATAGATAGATAGATAGATAGATAGATAGATAGATAGATAGATAGATAGATAGATAGATAGATAGATAGATAGATAGATAGATAGATAGATAGATAGATAGATAGATAGATAGATAGATAGATAGATAGATAAATAAATAGATAGATAGATAGATAGATAGATAGATAGATAGATAGATAGATAGATAGATAGATAGATAGATAGATAGATAGATGGATAGATAGATAGATAGATAGATAGATAGATAGATAGATAGATAGATAGATAGATAGATAGATAGATAGATAGATAGATAGATAAATAGATAGATAGATAGATAGATAGATAGATAGATAGATAGATAGATAGATAGATAGATAGATAGATAGATAGATAGATAGATAGATAGATAGATAGATAGATAGATAGATAGATAGATAGATAGATAAATAAATAGATAGATAGATAGATAGATAGATAGATAGATAGATAGATAGATAGATAGATAGATAGATATAGATAGATAGATAGATAGATAGATAGATAGATAGATAGATAGATAGATAGATAGATAGATAGATAGATAGATAGATAGATAGATAGATAGATAGATAGATAGCTAGATAGATAGATAGATAGATAGATAGATAGATAGATAGATAGATAGATAGATAGATAGATAGATAGATAGATAGATAGATAGATAGATAGATAGATAGATAGATAGATAGAAACCTCATCTCATTTCTTAATATTCTTTAAATAAAAACTACGATTTATTATAATTATTTATTTCAAAAACTAATTTACAATTTAGCATAAACAGATTCATGCACCACCATATTTCCCTTAATATCGCTTAATTTCTGACAACCTGCCAAGGCCATTGTGATATCAAAATCCTTTTTTAAGCACTTCCAACATATTTTTAACGCCAGCTTCACCGCCACAGCCCAGACCCCAAACGGCAGGACGTCCCAGAAATACCATTTTTGCACCCATAGCCAAAGCTTTAAAAACATCATTTCCATGACGTACACCACCATCTAACATTACAACCATATCATCACCCACAGCTTTAACCACTTCCGGTAAAGCTTCTATAGCTGCTGGTACACTATCCAATTGACGGGCACCATGATTAGAAACAATAACACCGGCACAGCCAAATTCTCGCGCTAAAATTGCATCTTCAGCCGTTAAAATGCCTTTAACAATTACTGGAAGATATGTAAGGTTCACCAACCATTTAACATCTTTCCAGGTGAGGGTAGCATCAAATTGACTGGCTACATATTCATTAATGCCCGATGTACCCACTTCACTGTGTACACCATCCGATTGTGAAGATTGTGCCTCGAAATTGGCCAAACGTAGATGAGATGGTAAACTAAAGTTGTTGCGTACATCAGACCATCTTTGGCCAAAGATAGGGGCATCTATAGTGAGTACTATGGCTTTGTAATTACATTTCTCTACACGTCGCACTAGTTTTTCCGTCAGGGAACTGCGAGAGAATGAAAAAATAAAAAATAATTTAAAATAATGGGCACATTTATTGGGACTATAATTTTCAAGAGGTAATTTTATTAATACCTACCGATCTTTATACACATATAATTGAAACCATTTATTGGTAAATGGAGCAGCTTGAGCCACTTCTTCTATGGACATGGTAGCTAAAGTACTTAAAATGAATATGGAACCCATTTCACCAGCCGCTTTAGCATTACCACCCTCACCATCTGGGTGAGCCATTTTTTGCATGGCTGTTGGAGCAATACCCACCGGCCACTTTAGATCACAACCTAATAGTCGACACGTAGTATCCACTTGGGAAACATCTCGCAAACAACGGGGACGTATACGTAATCTTTAATAATTTAAATTATTTATTACATACATACATAAGTACAAACTTATGTAAATAATCTCACCTTCTAAAAGCTTCTCTATTTAAATTCAAACTAAACTGTTCTCCCGCTCCGCTACGATAATAATCCAAAGCCTTTTTTTCTATAATTTGATGAGCCCTTTCCTCGAAATCGGTAACACACACATAGGGGGCAGCCATATTTTTCTTAAGTTTTACTGAATTTTAATAAGTCTAGCGATGTTTCTGTTTTAAAGTCTGTATTTGGACTAATTTAAATAATTTTATTTTAATAGTCGCTAGATAATAGATGCAGCTTCTATTTAATGAATAACAATAACATTGATAAGATTTCTTATCAACCATAATAATAAACCTATGGAATAATAAATGTATATTGCTTTTCTCGTAAAAAGAAAATGTTTTATATACAAAATGAGGTAGATGATGACACTACACTTAGGGATATGTAAGTAAGTAAGTAAGTAAGTAAGTAAGTAAGTAAGTAAGTAAGTAAGTAGTAAGTAAGTAAGTAAGTAAGTAAGTAGTAAGTAAGTAAGTAAGTAAGTAAGTAAGTAAGTAAGTAAGTAAGTAAGTAAGTAAGTAAGTAAGTAAGTAAGTAAGTAAGTAAGTAAGAAGTAAGTAAGTAGTAAGTAAGTAAGTAAGTAAGTAAGTAAGTAAGTAAGTAAGTAAGTAAGTAAGTAAGTAAGTAAGTAAGTAAGTAAGTAAGTAAGTAAGTAAGAGTAAGTAAGTAAGTAAGTAAGTAAGTAAGTAAGTAGTAAGTAAGTAAGTAAGTAAGTAAGTAAGTAAGTAAGTAGTAGTAAGTAAGTAAGTAGTAAGTAAGTAAGTAAGTAAGTAAGTAAGTAAGTAAGTAAGTAAGTAAGTAAGTAAGTAAGTAAGTAAGTAAGTAAGTAAGTAAGTAAGTAAGTAGAAGTAAGTAAGTAAGTAAGTAAGTAAGTAAGTAAGTAGTAAGTATAAGTAAGAAGTAAGTAAGTAAGTAAGTAAGTAAGTAAGTAAGTAAGTAAGTAAGTAAAAGGTAGTAAGTAAGTAAGTAAGTAAGTAAGTAGTAAGTAAGTAAAGTAAGTAAAGTAGTAAGTAAGTAAGTAAGTAAGTAAGTAAGTAAGTAAGTAAGGTAAGTTAAGTAAGTAAGTAAGTAAGAAGTAAGTAAGTAAGTAAGTAAGTAAGTAAGTAAGTAAGTAAGTAAGTAAGTAAGTAAGTAAAGTAAGTAAGTAAGTACGTAAGTAAGTAAGTAAGTAAGTAGTAAGTAAGTAAGTAAGTAAGTAAGTAAGTAAGTAAGTAAGTAAGTAAGTAAGTAAGTAAGTAAGTAAGTAGTAAGTAAGTAAGTAAGTAAGTAAGTAAGTAAGTAAGTAAGTAAGTAAGTAAAGTAAGTAAGTAAGTAAGTAAGTAAGTAAGTAAGTAAGTAAGTAAGTAAGTAAGTAAGTAAGTAAGTAAGTAAGTAAGTAAAGTAAGTAAGTAAGTAAGTGTAAGTAAGTAAGTAAGTAAGTAAGTAAGTAAGTAAGTAAGTAAGTAAGTAGTAAGTAAGTAAGTATGTAAGTAAGTATGTAAGTAAGAAGTGAGTAAGTAAGTAAGTAAGTAAGTAAGTAAGTAAGTAAGTAAGTAAGTAAGTAAGTAAGTAGTAGTAAGTAAGTAAGTAAGTAAGTAAGTAAGTAAGTAAGTAAGTAAGTACGTAAGTAAGTAAGTAAGTAAGTAAGTAAGTAAGTAAGTAAGTAAGTAAGTAAGTAAGTAAATAAGTAAGTAACTATTTATCTATCAACCTATCTATACACAGCAATCTATCATAAATCGAAGAAAGTTGAAAGAAAAAAACAATTTTAGCTACTGTCACAAATGAATGTAAACTGATAGGTAAAACGACAACATACTTTATACCAGCAACGCGACCCGGTTCTAGTTAGGATCTAAATAAAACTAAACTTTTTTCAATTAATAGTTTATTACCTTACCGCGATTACAGCTTATACAAATTTGTTTCAAATCTGCGTTCTCAAAACAAAGACCATATAATTTAATACAAATTAATGTGTTTTTTTTTTAATTTTACGCAAAAATTATATAAAATATTAGAAAAAATGTTTAGAGAGAAATTAAATTTCATTATCACTATCATCTTCATTTTTGAATGCTTCTCCAGCTTCAATGGCCATTTTATGCCAGGGCACTGGATTAATACGATGCAAGCCATTGGTTTCTTTACCCACCAAACTCATTTCATAGCGGAAATCTTTGTCCTTTAACTCATCGTGAACTTGGTAGATGCTGAAATATAAAAAATAATATAAATTAAATGAGGGTTAGTCTATAAATGACCCTTGGCTAGTCAAAAGGTTTCCTTCGCAACAGTTCGTATACAACTGCATAAAAATTTCAGTCAAATTTAAAAACAAATTTATCCGATTAAATTGTGTAGAGATCAACACTGTGACAAATTCAACAAATTCCTTGAAAAACCTCCTATTATAAGATCTTAGCCGGTCCGACAATACTTTCTTACTTGTTTCTTAGAATAACTTACATTTTACCAGCATTTTGTACTAAATCCTCTGTGGACATTTCAGGGAAATTGAATTTCTCCATTTCAGTTTTAGCCTGTTGTTTAGCTTTACCGCTGGCACAGGCGAAATAACCAAACGACGAGCCAGAAGGTTCAATTTTATACAATTGTGCACCTTGATCTTCATCCCAGGCAGAGAGTAAAACTGACACACCAAAAGGTCTGACAGCACTGTATAAAGTATAAGCGTGAACATAGGCAGCAATACGTTCGGTCAATTGTTTCAAGGGTATAGTGCGTTCAAACTGTTGGCGATAGTTGGCAGCCTCTTGACGTGCTATATCCACAATATAACGACCATCAGCTAAGAGACCAGCTATAGCTAAACCGATATTTTTATCCACCGTAAAAATGCGTGCTCCAGCATCTTCTTCGTATAAGGTGCTGGTGACAATTTTTTCAACTGCTAAAATAACACTGTCTTTGCCGCGTAAACCTATAACAGTGCCACTTTTCTCCACCGCCTTACCAGCATAATCAATTTGGAATACCCGTCCGTCCGGTGAGAATTGTGAGGCAGATAAATCGTACTGTAAACAAAAGAAAATGCAATTTTACTATATATTCCTGATTTTATAAGGTTTATTTTTTGGAACTTACTCCTGTGCCAATTGAACTCATTTTTATTTTAGTACTATCAGATTTTTATTTTTAAGAATATTAATTTAGTTTGGTTTTTGCAAAAAAACTAGAGTATTTTTTGCAAGTTGTTTGGATGATGATTTGACGGCTTTTTGTTTGGTTTATTTTGAGGTTATGCTGTCATTTTTTTTTTTGACTTTTCATTGTACAAATATTACCAGACCGTTGTATTTAAACATTAAAAAAAATCGCTGTAATTAAAATAAAAAGATAACTAAAATTTTTACTAATTCACTATTATTTTTACACATTACTTCCTTTTTATAATTTATTATTTGTAGATATATTTAAATTAATGTTATAAACTATAATTTATTATTAAATTTTATATATTTAATTTCCAACAATTCCCATTTACCCCACAAAGAACTCTTGACTTAGCAACTCTACCATATGTTTTCATTAAAAAGCTTTATGACATCTGGCAACTTTATATCTGCACATGTTTATTTTCTTTTATTTACATTTTTTCTGAAAGAATTTTGTAGTTTTTTTACACGCGGATTAAAAATACGATTTTTTAAACAGTTTTATTAAAAAATAAAAGAAAAATGTCGCTAAATATTAGTGAAAAAAGGTAAGAAATATATTTATCAATAAACAAACACTTGTTAATCCTTTGTTGTGGTTTGTTGTAGTTATGCGGTGGAAACGCGTTATGCTAATTTCTATGCTGGTGGTGATGTAGCCTGGAGTAAAGATGGCAAATGGATTTACTGTTTGAATGGCAGTGAGGTAACAAAAGTAGAAGTTGAAACGGGCTTAGTGGCACGTTCTTATGGTTTAAATTACAATGAACAAGGAGAAAAAATTGATAATGAAGTGGAAGAAGAAGCCGATGATCAAATCTATTGTTTTGATTTGTCTTCAACACAAGAATATATGGTTACAGTGCACCGCAGCAGTTTGGTAAGATTATGGCATTTATCTTCGGGCAAAATTGAAAAGTTGTGGAAAAGTCAACATCGTGGACCGGTGGTAAAAGTGTGTTTCAATGCCGATGGACGTTTGGTGTGTACTAGTGGTGCTGATTCGACGTTGCGTATATGGGATTATGAAAATAGCAGATGTTTGGCGGTATTAAAAGAGTTTACTGGTCCCTCTGTGCTGCTGCAGTTTCATCCAAATCCTTCTAAACAGGAAATATATGCTGCTGGCTCGGATAATTGTCTATATAAATGGAATTATGAAACAAAAACATTGGAAGCCAAAATGAAGGGACATTTATCACAAGTAACCGGTTTTGCTTTTAGCGATCAATCTGCAGAGTGTGAATTTATGGCTAGTGCCAGTCGTGATAAGGTTTTAATAGTTTGGCGTTTACAGGATGGCAAACAAATGAAAGTAATACCCATGTATGAAGAGCTAGTGGGTGTGGTATACAAAGATGCAGAAACTATTATAGTGGCCGGTGTAAAAGGCAATTTAAAACAAATTGCCAGCAAAACAAGTAAAATATCTACGCTCATAGAGTGCCAAGAGGAGGAATATGAAATTAACCATTTAATGTTTAATATAACTAACAAACAATTGGCCTTTGTGACCGCTGATCATAATATCTTAATTTTTGATATTGTGTCTAAGGAAAAGGTTAAATGTTTTAAACAATTAATAGGTTTTAATGATGAAATACTTGATGTTTGTTTCCTGGGAGAAGCTGAAGAGTTTCTGGCCATGGCTACCAATAGTAAGCATATAAAGTTGTATGATATTGAGCAGCACATGAATTGTAATATTGTTATGGGTCACAAGGATACTGTTATGTCTCTGAGCACTCCGGGTTCTAGTAAATTACTTTTGTCGGCCGGTAAAGATTTCACCATAATACTCTGGCAGTTGGATAAGGAAAATGCCAATTTAGTCTGTTTGGCTAAGCATATAAATAGTCATACTGCCACCATAGGTTGCATAAGTTTTGCCTACCACTGTGACAATGCCTTTGCCTCTGTGTGCCAGAGTGGCAGTTTAAAGGTGTGGTCTTTGAAAGGCCAAACAAAAGGCAAAACAGGCGAATATGAATTTTCCGTTAAATATGCAGCTGCTGCTCATGACAAAGAGGTCAATTGCGTGGCGTTTTCTCCTAATAATAAGATAATTGCCACCGCCTCCCAAGACAAAACTGCCAAACTATGGTCTGCTGATACTCACAGCATTTTGGGCTCTTTAAAAGGTCATACACGTGGTGTTTGGTGTGTACGTTTCTCACCCACAGATCAAGTTGTTTTAACCACTTCCTCTGACTGCAGTTTGCGTTTGTGGTCTTTATCTAATCTGGCTTGTCTCAAACGTTTGGAACAATCTGCCACCGTCTTGAAAGCAGAATTTATTGATCATGGCAAATATATACTTTCGTCTGGATCGGATGGTCTCCTCAAATTATGGAACATCAAGACAAATGCTTGTATACAAACCCTTGATGAGCATGATGATCGTGTTTGGTCTTTAGCCGTTTCCTCCAAAACTCAAAAATATTTCTTTAGTGCTGCTGCCGACTCCAAACTTATAAAATGGAAGGATATAACAGAGGAATGTAAAAATACCGAAATCGATAAGCGTCAAGAAATGCTACAACAAGAACAAGCCCTACAATTAATGCTGCATCAAAATAAACAATTGAAAAAGGCCTTTATGTTAGCCCTTAAATTAGGCAAACCTAAAGTATCCTATAGTATACTAAATCAGTACATAAGACAACGTGATTTTCAAACAATAGAAGAAATGATATCTAAACTAAATAATGATCAGAAGTTAACACTTTTGGATCATGTCAAGGTATGGAGTTGTAATTCTCGTCATTCTCAAGTTTCCAGTGTAGTGCTGCAGCAATTATTGGCGGAAATGTTGGTGGAACCAAAAATGCAACGGACCCTAAATGCCAAAAATCTAGTGGAAGTTGTTACACCCTATGTACAGCGTCATTTTAAACGTATTACAGAATTAAGTAAAGAATTGCAATTTTTGGATTTTATTGTTGAGAGTATATAATGAAGAAATATATTTGAATATTTTTATAACTTTAAACGAATTTTGTTTGGGAAGAGATTTTATTTGTTTTGTTAATAGAACGCATTCAATTGGTATCATAATTGTCCAATTCACAATTTTCTTGTATCGTGTGTATTTTTGTGTAAGTTTACACTTGTGTAAAAATTTCCTTTAAAAAACACGTATAATTTTACGTTTTGTTTTTCATATGTTTATTTACATATTTCGTATTCAATATCAAGCTATCATTCTCATGTGAATGCACAATTTTTAAGAAGAATAGAAGAAGAATAACTTCATAAAGTAAAAAATTAAAAAAGCGCTTTAAAGTGTAAAAAGTGGAAATATATTAATGTAAAACTTATTAGGACTGGTGAAAATAGTGAAAAATTTTAGGTCGGGGTAAGTGAAATGATTCTATGTGAAAGAATTTCGTTTAGAAAAAACATTTGTATAGAAATTTGTCATTAGAAGAAAATTTTCCAAAGAAATTTGTCGAAATACCACTTTTTTCAAAACATAGGTACATTTAAAAAAAAAATCCGTAGAAAAGTTTCTCCTGTGGACACATTTATGTAAAAGAAACTACTGGATACTCGTTTATATAAATTTGTCTACAGGATACACTTTTCTATAGAGAAGAAACTACAGGATACTCTTTTATATAAATTTGTGTCTAGAAAAAACGTCTATAGAAAATGTTTTTCTATAAAAGAATCTTTCTACAGACATATTTCTACAGGAGACACTTTTCTTTACAAATATGTCTACAGGGGACACTTTTCTACCAGAAAAAAATACGTCTAGGGAAGACACTACATAAATGCCTCTAGAGATGACACTTTTTTATATAAATGTAGCAACAGGAAACACTTTTATATAGAAACGGGTCTACAGGAGACTTTACAGCAGGAATGTGTCTTGAGAAAAACTTTTCTATAAAAATGTGTTTATAGACATACCATAAAAGACCATTTTCTATAGAAGACACTTTTATATAGAAATGTGTCTATAGAAGACACTTTTCTAGAGAAATGTGTTTATAGAAGACACTATTCTATAGAAATGTGTCTATAGAAGACACTTTTCTAGAGAAATGCGTTTATAGAAGACGCTATTCTGTAGAAATGTGTCTATAGAAGACAATTTTCTATAGAAATGTGTCTATAGAAGACACTTTTCTATAGAAATGTCTCTAAAGAAGACTCTTTTCTATAGAAATGTGTCTATAGAAGACTCTTTTCTATAGAAATGTTTCTATAGAAGACACTTTTCTATAGAAATGTGTCTATAGAAGACACTTTTCTATAGAAATGTGTCTATAGAAGACACTTTTCTATAGAAATGTGTCTATAGAAGACAATTTTCTATAAAAATGAGTCTATAGAAGACACTTCTCTATAGAAATGTGTCATAGAAGACACTATTCTATAGAAATGTGTCTATAGAAGACACTATTCTATAGAAATGTGTCTATAGAAGACACTTTTCTAGAGAAATGTGTTTATAGAAGACAATTTTCTATAGAAATGTGTATATAGAAGACACTTTTCTATAGAAATGTCTCTATAGAAGACACTTTTCTATAGAAATGTGTCTATAGAAGACACTTTTCTATAGAAATGTGTCTATAGAAGACACTTTTCTATAGAAATGTGTCTATAGAAGACACTTTTCTATAGAAATGTGTCTATAGAAGACACTTTTCTATAGAAATGTGTCTATAGAAGACAATTTTCTATAGAAATGTGTCTATAGAAGACACTTTTCTAGAGAAATGTGTCTATAAAAGACACTTTTCTATAGAAGACAATTTTCTATAAACATGAGTCTATAGAAGACAATTTTCTATAAAAATGAGTCTATAGAAGACACTTCTCTATAGAAATGTGTCTATAGAAGACACTTTTCTATAGAAATGCGTCTATAGAAGACACTTTTCTATAGAAATGTGTCTATAGAAGACACTTTTCTATAGAAATGTGTCTATAGAAGACACTTTTCTATAGAAATGTGTCTATAGAAGACACTTTTCTAGAGAAATGTGTCTATAGAAGACATTTTTCTATAGAAATGTGTCTATAGAAGACAATTTTCTATAAAAATGAGTCTATAGAAGACACTTCTCTATAGAAATGTGTCATAGAAGACACTATTCTATAGAAATGTGTCTATAGAAGACACTTTTCTAGAGAAATGTGTTTATAGAAGACGCTATTCTGTAGAAATGTGTCTATAGAAGACAATTTTCTATAGAAATGTGTCTATAGAAGACACTTTTCTATGGAAATGTGTTTATAGAAGACGCTATTCTGTAGAAATGTGTCTATAGAAGACACTTTTCTAGAGAAATGTGTCTATAGAAGACACTTTTCTATAGAAATGTGTCTATAGAAGACAATTTTCTATAAAAATGAGTCTATAGAAGACACTTCTATAGAAATGTGTCATAGAAGACACTATTCTATAGAAATGTGTCTATAGAGGACACTTTTCTAGAGAAATGTGTTTATAGAAGACGCTATTCTGTAGAAATGTGTCTATAGAAGACAATTTTCTATAGAAATGTGTCTATAGAAGACACTTTTCTATGGAAATGTGTTTATAGAAGACGCTATTCTGTAGAAATGTGTCTATAGAAGGCACTTTTCTAGAGAAATGTGTCTATAGAAGACACTTTTCTATAGAAATGTGTCTATAGAAGACAATTTTCTATAAAAATGAGTCTATAGAAATGAGTCTATAGAAGACACTTCTATAGAAATGTGTCATAGAAGACACTATTCTATAGAAATGTGTCTATAGAAGACACTTTTCTAGAGAAATGTGTTTATAGAAGACGCTATTCTGTAGAAATGTGTCTATAGAAGACAATTTTCTATAGAAATGTGTCTATAGAAGACACTTTTCTATGGAAATGTCTCTATAGAAGACACTTTTCTATAGAAATATGTCTATAGAAGACAATTTTCTATAGAAATGTGTCTATAGAAGACACTTTTCTATAGAAATGTGTCTATAGAAGACAATTTTCTATAGAAATGTGTCTATAGAAAATACCTTTCTTTAGAAATGTGTCTATAGAAAACACCTTTTTTGTTCGAAATGTGTCTATAGAAGAAACTTTTCTATCAAAATGTGTCTATAGAAGACACTTTTCTATAGAAATGTGTCTACAGAAGACACTTTTCTAAAGAAATGTGTATATAGAAGACACTTTTCTATAGAAATGTGTCTACAGAAGACACTTTTCTAAAGAAATGTGTATATAGAAGACACTTTTCTATAGAAATGTGTCTACAGAAGACACTTTTCTAAAGAAATGTGTATATAGAAGACACTTTTCTATAGAAATCTGTCTATAGAACACACTTTCCTATAGAAATGAAGACAATTTTCTATAGAAATCTGTCAATAGAAGATACTTTCCTATAGAAATGTGTCTATAGAAGACAATTTTCTATAGAAATATGTCTATAGAAGACAATTTTCTATAGAAATGTGTCTATAGAAGACAATTATCTATAGAAATATGTCTATAGAAGACAATTTTCTATAGAAAAGTGTCTATAGAAGACAATTTCTATAGAAATGTATCTATAGAAGACACTTTTATATATAAATGTGTCTATAGAAGACACTTTTCTATAGAAATGTGTCTATAGAATACACTTTCCTATAGAAATTTGTCTAGAAAAGACACTTTTCTGTAGAAATGTTTCTACAGCAGATTTTTTATATAGAAATGTTAAGATTTTTTTAAAGGAAACTATTAAAAAAAAACATTTATTTTAATATATTTTTTTTATTTTAATTTTTATTTCAAAATATTAACGGTTATAATTTATTTAACTTTTCACAAAAAAGAAATTATACATATTTTTATTAAAAAAAATTATTATAAAAAATTAAAAAGCTATACATATACATAACTTTAAAGCTTAAAGAAACAAACGAAAAAATTATAACTATAAAATTAAAAAAAAAAAATTAATAATAATAAAAGTTAACAACACTTAACAATTACTATATAAAAAAGGACTCATATTATTTTAAACAATAAATGAACAATTAAGAAAAAAAAAAGAAGAAATAAAGTTTATAATTTACAAAACTTATAGCTGTATTGTGCGTAAAGAAGAAAACAAATTTATAAAACCAAAAAAAAGTATAAAAAAAATAATTAAAAAAATTAATAAAAATTTGTTGTTGTTTTTTGAAGCTTAATTAAGTATATAAACGTATTACATGATGTCATTTATTTTGAACTTTCGATTGGCCTTTTAAAACATTATCACTGGTACTTTAGCATTAAATCTATTTTAAATATATAAATTTAATTAATTTTGTAGAAAGTGATTTGTGTAAAGATTTCTAAAATCGCGCGCACGTATATTTTGTTAAACATAAACATTTGACTACATCTAAAATTGGATGAGGATTATGTGGATACACAGTGGGGAAAGGATGATACTTATGTTGTATGATCGATCGTTTGAAATGGTTTGTTTATTGGCTAATTTATTCTACAATCATTAATAAGTCATCGCCTTCCAATTTCATGCCATTGATAACTTCCATTTTCTTAACAATACCAGCCTTGGGAGCTTGTACCACCATTTCCATTTTCATGGCCGACAAGACAACCAAAGGTTGACCCTTTTCTACTTTATCACCTTCCTTAACGCGCACATCGATTACGGTACCAGGCATGGGAGCACCAACTTCATTCTTGTTCGATTTAGAGGCTTTAGGATGAATGTGCATTTCCTGGGAAAGAAAAAGTAGAAATTAAAAATTAGTTTTATCTTTAGACATATTTCTAAATACACATTTCTCTAGAGAAGTATCTTCTTTAGACGCATTTCTATAGAAAAGTTTATTCCTAGACACATTTCTATAGAAAAGTATCTTCTTTAGACACATTTCTGTAGAAGTTTATTCTTAGACACATTTCTATAGAAAAGTGTCTTCCATAGACACATTTCTATAGAAAAGTGTCTTCTATAGTCATATTTCTATAGAAAAATGTCTTCTGTAGACACATTTCTATTGAAAAGTGTCTCCTATAGATACATTTCTATAGAAAAGTGTCTTCCATAGACACATTTCTATAGAAAAGTGTCTTCTATAGACACATTTCTATAGAAAAGTGTCTTCTATAGACACATTTCTATTGAAAAGTCTCTTCTATAGACACATTTCTATTGAAAAGTGTCTCCTATAGATACATTTCTATAGAAAAGTGTCTTCTATAGATACAATTCTATAGAAAAGTGTTTTCTATAGATAGATTTCTACAGAAAAATGTCTTATTCTTCTATAGAAAAGTGTCTTCTATAGACACATTTCTATAGAAAAGTTTCTTCTATAGACAAATTTCTATAGAAAAGTGTGTTCTATAGATACATTTCTATAGGAAAGAGTCTTCTATAGACATATTCCTATAGGAAAGTGTCTTCTATATACACATTGCTATAGGAAAGTGTCTTCTATAGATACATTTCTATAGAAAAGAGTCTTTTATAGATACATTTCTATAGAAAATTTTCTTCTTTAGACACAATTCTATAAAAAAATGTCTCCTTATATAGAAAAGTTTAATGTAACTAAAACTTTTTCCAATTACAACTCACCTTAGAAGCTTCATTATCACGAATCAATACGGAACGCAATTGACCGTTCATTTCGAAGAACACTTCACGTTCACCGTTAGGTGTCAAATCTTCTGACATAGCCAAAGTCTTCAAACTCAAAGTTTTACCCTTTTCCAGACTAACTTCGAACTCTTCACCGACTTTGGGACCGGTTAAGAAGATGCGTGTATCCAATTTATCAACGGGACCATAAGATTCGCGGAAATGCAAGTATTCTTCAGTGACAGCGGGATACAAAGCGGCAGACATAACATCACGTTCGGTAACGAGAGGATGGGATTCCTTAAGATCCTTCTTCAATTTGTCAAAGTCCAAGGGGGCCAAATTCTCACCAGGACGGCCCTCAACACGTGGCATATCCTTTAGGACACGTGAACGCAATGGCTCGGGGAAGCCACCGTGTGGAATACCAATAGAACCCTGCAAGAATTCGACAACCGACTTGGGGAATGACAATTCTTCGGCCTTTTCCAATACTTGATCGGGTGACAATTTGTTCTGGACCATAAATTGAGCCAAATCACCCACCACCTTAGAGGAGGGAGTTACTTTAATGATATCGCCCAACAACAAGTTAGCTTCTCTGTAGGCCTTCTTGACATCCTCGAAGAAATCGCCCAAACCCAATGAGAAAGCTTGGAACTGTAAGTTGGTGTATTGACCGCCGGGAATTTCGTTCATATAGACATCAGCATTGCCAGACTTCATGGTGGTGGTACATTCGAAGGGAGCATACAAGGTACGAGTTTGTTCCCAGTAGGCAGAGTATTCGGAGACATCACTTAAAGCGAATTGGGTATCCAAGGGAGTGCCTTGCAATGAGGCTACCACAGCACCCATACTGGGTTGAGAAGTCATGCCAGACATGGAGTCGACAGCAACATCTACAACATCGGCACCAGCATGAGCACAAGCCAACATAGAGGCAACACCAGCGCCTGAGGTATCGTGAGTGTGAATGTGAATTGGTACATCGGGATGTTTGTCACGAATGGCAGAGATCAAGAGTCTATTTAAATAAAAAACAATTAAAAAATGCCAAAATCTGAGAATTTAATGTCCCAACTTACGTAGCAGCCTGGGGTTTCAATAAACCAGCCATATCCTTGATACACAATACATGTGTGCCGGCCTTAACCAATTCATCAGCCAAGTTGGTATAGTATTTAAGATCGTATTTAGTACGTGCTGGATCACTGACATCACCGGTATAGGAAATGGCAGCTTCAACAACACCACCAGCTTTACCGGCAGCTTCCATACCCAAAATCAAGTTTGGCAAGTAGTTCAAAGAATCGAAGACACGGAAGATATCCATACCAGTTTGAACCTGTAATCGTTTAACAGAAATTTTTGTTAATTAGTAAATGTTAGTGAGATATTAAGAAACGCCATAGATCCCTAATGAACCTTTAAACATATGCGGCAAAGTTTCAATTACAATGACTTTCTCACTGAATGAGAATCTTAATGATCTTGAAGAGACTTTGAAAGAAGAAAGGGATGCTGTGCTACTATTTTGAGTCGATTTAGCTGATCTGCTTTCTACCTGTTGAATACATATCATGTGATGATGCTACTATTGATCGAAGTGACACCTAGTGAACTGGATGGCGCAAACTCTAATCCAACATTCAATGGTAAGTGGACTTTCTTTTTTTTGTCTTATATTGTACTCAAATGATCTTGTAAAATGTACATCTGCATTCGTCCTCTTATGAGGAAAATACAAATGATCTTAGATCAAATGATCTTGAAAGGTATATCTAAGTTCTTTATATCTTTATTCTTCTTTTAATGAGAGAAATTTTGTTGCTGATCACCACTGAACTAACATCCTAACAATGTGATCACATCATTTCATGGAATGTTGATATTAAAAGAAAGTTCGGAGAGCGATCATGTCAATAGAAATTGAGTTTATTCTCGATTTAGAGATCTGCTATAATGAAGAGAGAAGAATATGAAGCATAAAGTAGATCAAGAGCTAGGTGATAGAAACCAGAGAAGCATTTAAGAATTCAAATGAAATTCCATATTGAGTCAATACCCGATTTAGAGATCTTTAATATAAAAAAGAGAGAATATCATACACAAAGTAGATCAAGAGCATCTAGTATATCTCTTAAAACCTAAAAATGGGTGTGTTCGTTTGTAAAAGATCTTTAAAAATCTCGAAAATCCCAAGACTAAAGTCGACAGATGCTCCTAGAGAAATTAAATGTAAATTTTGTAAACAATTTATGACCTTTCTTACTCATACTATAGGGAATAGGTTAGTTTATATAAAACCCGCTAAATTTAGTGCCAAAAAAGCCACGAGATCTATTTGTTTGGCACTACAAATTTGCTGCTATTTTATAACACAAGCTATAATAGGCAAAGTTATACAATTAAATCCGTAACACATTTTTACTTACCGCCAATTCACAGAATTTATAGACAACATTATCGGGATAGTTGGTATAACCCACAGCATTAGCACCTCTCAACAACATTTGGAATGGAATGTTGGGTATCAATTTACGCATCTCTTCCAAACGTTCCCAGGGACATTCGTGCAAGAAACGTAGTGCCACATCAAAGGTAGCACCACCCCAATTTTCCAAAGAGTACAAATTATTGAATTTATTAGCAACATAGGGTGAAATCTTCAAAAGATCATGGGAACGAACACGGGTGGCCAACAACGATTGATGAGCATCTCTGTAGGTGGTGTCCATCAATAAGAGATTTTTGCGGGAACGTACTTCCTTGGCGAAGGCCTCAGGACCTTGGGTGGTCAAAATATGACGTAAACCCTTAGGGGGTTCGGTAACTATGTGGGTTTGGGAAGATTATATAATTAATTTTGTGATAATTTAAAGGTGTGGTGGTAATAAGGTAAAAATGCATGCGTATTGGTGTTTAGCTATCAACATTTTTTTCGAGCCCCTTAAATTTAGAGTTAATTATAAAATTTGGAAAAAGTAGCCCTTGGACATGGGTTAAAAAACATACAACATTTAAAAATTAATTTACAAAATTATAAAACAAATTAAATTATGCTTAATTAGCGGCATTATAGAGATGTGGAGGAGTTATGTTAATGGAGACGTTATTAAACAAGATGGATAAAATTTGAGATTATCTTTTAGATTTAAACGGAACTGTAGGTTATAGTCTAGCTTATAGACTAGTCTACAGTCTAGTCTAATAGTCTAGTCTTTAGTTTAGTCTAAATAGTCTAGCATATAATCTAGTCTATAGTCTGGTCTATAGTATATTCTATAGTCGAGTCTATAGTCTAATCTATAGTTTAGTCTATAGTTTAGTCTATAGTCTAGTCTATAGTCTAGTCTATAGTCTTGTCTATAGTCTAGTCTATAGTCTTGTCTATAGTCTAGTCTATAGTCTAGTCTATAGTCTAGTCTATAGTCTAGTCTATAGTCTAGTCTATAGTCTAGTCTATAGTCTAGTCTATAGTTCAGTCTATAGTCTAGTCTATAGTCTAGTCTATAGTATAGTCTATAGTCAAGTCTATAGTCTAGTCTATAGTCTAGTCTATAGTCTAGTCTATAGTCTAGTCTATAGTCTAGTCTATAGTCTAGTCTATAGTCTAGTCTATAGTCTAGTCTATAGTCTAGTCTATAGTCTAGTCTATAGTCTAGTCTATAGTTCAGTCTATAGTCTAGTCTATAGTCTAGTCTATAGTATAGTCTATAGTCAAGTCTATAGTCTATAGCATAGTCTATAGTCAAGTCTATAGTCTAGTCTATAGTCTAGTCTATATTCTAGTCTATAGTCTAGTCTATAGTCTAGTCTATAGTCTAGTCTATTCTATATATTCTAGTCTATAGTCTAGTCTATAGTCTAGTCTACAGTCTAGTCTATAGTCTAGTCTACAGTCTAGCCTATAGTCTGGACTAGTCTATAGTCTGGACTAGTCTATAGTCTGGACTAGTCTATAGTCTGGACTAGTCTATAGTCTGGACTATTCTATAGTCTGGGCTAGTCTATAGTCTGGACTAGTCTATAGTCTGGACTAGTCTATAGTCTGGACTAGTCTATAGTCTGGACTAGTCTATAGTCTGGACTAGTCTATAGTCTGGACTAGTCTATAGTCTGGACTAGTCTATAGTCTGGACTATTCTATAGTCTGGGCTAGTCTATAGTCTGGACTAGTCTATAGTCTGGACTAGTCTATAGTCTGGACTAGTCTATAGTCTGGACTAGTCTATAGTCTGGACTAGTCTATATTCTGGACTAGTCTATAGTCTGGACTAGTCTATAGTCTGGAATAGTCTATAGTCTGGACTAGTCTATAGTCTGGACTAGTCTATAGTCTGGACTAGTCTATAGTCTGGGCTAGTCTATAGTCTGGACTAGTCTATAGTCTGGACTAGTCTATAGTCTGGACTAGTCTATAGTCTGGACTAATCTATAGTCTGGACTAGTCTATAGTCTGGACTAGTCTATAGTCTGGACTAGTCTATAGTCTGGACTAGTCTATAGTCTGGAATAGTCTATAGTCTGGACTAGTCTATAGTCTGGACTAGTCTATAGTCTGGACTAGTCTATAGTCTGGACTAGTCTATAGTCCAGACTAGTCTATATTCTAGTCTATAGTCTAGTCTATATTCTAGTCTATAGTCTAGTCTATAGTCTAGTCTATATTCTAGTCTATAGTCTAGTCTAGTCTATAGTCTAGTCTATAGTCTAGTCTATAGTCTAGTCTATAGTCTAGTCTATAGTCTAGTCTATAGTCTAGTCTATAGTCTAGTCTATAGTCTAGTCTATGTCTAGTCTATAGTCTAGTCTATAGTCTAGTCTATAGTCTAGTCTATAGTCTAGTCTATAGTCTAGTCTATAGTCTAGTCTATAGTCTAGTCTATAGTCTAGTCTATAGTCTAGTCTATAGTCTAGTCTATAGTCTAGTCTATAGTCTAGCCTATAGTCTAGTCTATAGTCTAGTCTAGTCTGGTCTATGGTCTAGTTAACTAGGGGTTAAGCTAGTACTATTAATTTCTTAAACAATTGGAAATTTATTAAAAAACTTTCCCATGGATCAAACACAAATCGTTTAACTTAAGTTATCACATGTTATAACAAGTTAAACTTTAAACTGAATTGTTGGATTAAACGTTAACTAACTAGTGTTTAAACTTAGATTACCAATTAGATGACATTTGTTCTACCAACCTGTAGTTAAAGATCCATACTTTTTACCATATTGTGTTAATTTTTAATTAGAAAATTGACTTTTAGTTTTTTTATCTATATAAATTTGAACCGATTTGTTTTATCCATCTTTTAGTATGAATGTATGTATGTAAATGTAATTAGTTTTATGAAGTTTTTTAGGTTAGAATTTTTCTGAGATTTTGTTACAACACACAATGAATTTGAAAACATACCTTTAGCTTCACCACGTTCTTCACGTTCTATGGCTTCGCGAGATAAATCTTCATTGTCGAAAAAAACAATTGACGGGGGAAGAACGTTGGCATTATTGATTTTTTGAGAGTGTGGCCACAATTATTTAGTTTTTGTTAATTGTCAACAAATTGCATGAAGTTTTTGTTTATGTTTTTGAAAACAGATTTTGAGTTATGGATGATGTGTAGGAGTTTTATTTTTCAGTGTATTAATAACAAAATGCAACATATAAAAGAAAATAAATATTTTAAAATTAGGAAAGTAATTAAACAAATAAAGCTAAAATTAAAAAAATAAACATTTAATGATGTTGAAAACATAAGTTGAGATAAAGAAGAAACTCAAGCCAAAGTGATGACGTCCTGTTGTTGAAATAATATGGGGGCCAAGAAAGATCATTGATAAGAAATTCGATCTTTAATAGCAAATATTGTGCTGCTGCTTATATTTTTATAGTTTTGTTTATAAATAAGTTTCTATTGCTATTAATACACAAATGTGCGAAAAACAACCTAAATTAGCTTGACAATAGTCTATTCCTGGGTAAACAATAGGTCGAGCATAGTATAATCTTTAGCTTTAATCTAGCCTAAAATCTCTAATGTTGTTTCGTTTATAGTATAATCTAGTTTATAGTCTCTAGTTCTATATCTATAATATAGTCTCTATTCTAGTTTATATTCTAGTCTATATTAGTTTCGTCTATAGTCTAGTCTATAGTGTATTCTATAGTGTAGTCTATAGTATAGTCTATAGTCTAGTCCCTAGTCTAGTCTATAGTCTAGTCTGTCTATAGTCTAGTCTAGTCTATAGTCCATAGTCTAGTCCATATTCTAGTCTATAGTCTATAGTCTAGACTATAGTCTAGTCTAGTCTATAGTATAGTTTATAGTCTAGTTTATAGTCTAGTCTATAGTCTAGTATATAGTCTAGTCTATAGTATAGTCTATAGTCTAGTCTATAGTCTAGTCTAGTCTATAGTCTAGTCTATAGTCTAGTCTATTGTCTAGTCTATAGTCTAGACTATAGTCTAGTCTATAGTATAGTTTATAGTCTACTTTATAGTCTAGTCTATAGTCTAGTATATAGTCTAGTCGTCTATAGTATAGTCTGTAGTCTAGTCTATAGTCTAGTCTATAGTCTAGTCTATAGTCTAGTCTATAGTCTAGTCTATAGTCTAGTCTATAGTCTAGTCTATAGTCTAGTCTATAGTCTAGTCTATAGTCTAGTCTATAGTCTAGTCTATAGTCTAGTCTATAGTCTAGTCTATAGTCTAGTCTATAGTCTAGTCTATAGTCTAGTCTATAGTCTAGTCTGTAGTCTAGTATATAGTTTAGTCTGTAGTCTAGTCTATAGTCTAGTCTATAGTCTATAGTCTAGTCTATAGTCTAGTCTATAGTCTAGTCTATAGTCTAGTCTATAGTGTAGTCTAGTCTATAGTCTAGTCTATAATCTAGTCTATAGTCTAGTCTATAGTCTAGTCTATAGTCTAGTCTATAGTCTAGTCTATAGTCTAGTCTATAGTCTAGTCTATAGTCTAGTCTATAGTCTAGTCTATAGTCTAGTCTATAGTCTAGTCTATAGTCTAGTCTATAGTCTAGTCTATAGTCTAGTCCATAGTCTAGTCTAGTCTAGTCTATAGTCTAGTCTATAGTCTAGTCTATAGTATAGTCTATAGTCTAGTCTATAGTCTACTCTATAGTCTAGTCTATAGTCTAGTCTATAGTCTAGTCTATAGTCTAGTCTATAGTCTAGTCTATAGTCTAGTCTATAGTCTAGTCTATAGTCTAGTCTATAGTCTAGTCTATAATCTAGTCTATAGTCTAGTCTATAGTCTAGTCTAGTATAGTCTAGTCTATAGTCTAGTCTATAGTCTAGTCTATAGTCTAGTCTATAGTCTAGTCTATAGTCTAGTCTATAGTCTAGTCTATAGTCTAGTCTATAGTCTAGTCTATAGTCTAGTCTATAGTCTAGTCTATAGTCTAGTCTATAGTCTAGTCTATAGTCTAGTCTATAGTCTAGTCTATAGTCTAGTCTATAGTCTAGTCTATAGTCTAGTCTATAGTCTAGTCTATAGTCTAGTCTATAGTCTAGTCTATAGTCTAGTCTATAGTCTAGTCTATAGTCTAGTCTATAGTCTAGTCTATAGTCTAGTCTATAGTCTAGTCTATAGTCTAGTCTATAGTCTAGTCTATAGTCTAGTCTATAGTCTAGTCTATAGTCTAGTCTATAGTCTAGTCTATAGTCTAGTCTATAGTCTAGTCTATAGTCTAGTCTATAGTCTAGTCTATAGTCTAGTCTATAGTCTAGTCTATAGTCTAGTCTATAGTCTAGTCTATAGTCTAGTCTATAGTCTAGTCTATAGTCTAGTCTATAGTCTAGTCTATAGTCTAGTCCATAGTCTAGTCTATAGTCTAGTCTCTAGTCTAGTCTATAGTCTAGTCTATAGTCTAGTCTATAGTCTAGTCTATAGTCTAGTCTATAGTCTAGTCTATAGTCTAGTCTATAGTCTAGTCTATAGTCTAGTCTATAGTCTAGTCTATAATCTAGTCTATAGTCTAGTCTATAGTCTAGTCTATAGTCTAGTCTATAGTCTAGTCTATAGTCTAGTCTATAGTCTAGTCTATAGTCTAGTCTATAGTCTAGTCTATAGTCTAGTCTATAGTCTAGTCTATAGTCTAGTCTATAGTCTAGTCTATAGTCTAGTCTATAGTCTAGTCTATAGTCTAGTCTATAGTCTAGTCTATAGTCTAGTCTATAGTCTAGTCTATAGTCTAGTCTATAGTCTAGTCTATAGTCTAGTCTATAGTCTAGTCTATAGTCTAGTCTATAGTCTAGTCTATAGTCTAGTCTATAGTCTAGTCTATAGTCTAGTCTATAGTCTAGTCTATAGTCTAGTCTATAGTCTATAGTCTAGTCTAGTCTAGTCTATAGTCTAGTCTAGTCTAGTCTAGTCTAGTCTAGTCTAGTCTATAGTCTAGTCTAGTCTATAGTCTAGTCTATAGTCTATAGTCTAGTCTATAGTCTATAGTCTATAGTCTAGTCTAGTCTATAGTCTAGTCTAGTCTATAGTCTAGTCTATAGTCTAGTCTATAGTCTAGTCTATAGTCTAGTCTATAGTCTAGTCTATAGACTAGTCTACAATCTTGTCTATAGTCTAGTCTGTAGTCTTATCTCCAATCTCATCTATAGTCTACTATATCATCTAGTATATAGTCTAATCTGTAGACTAGTTTATAGTCTGGTCTATAGTCCATTCTATAGTCTAGTCTATAGTCTTTTCTAATGTCTTTTCTATATTCTACTCTATAGTCTATTATAGAGTCTACTCTATAGTCTAGTCTGTAGTCTCGTCTTAATTCTATAAATCATTTGGATTTCTAAAGACTATTTAAAACTTTCATACAAATACCTAAAGGTCTCTACAAAATGCCCCTTGCTGCAAAAGTAATCGAATGACAACAAATTTTGTGAGGTTAGAAACCAGTAAACATATAGAAAAAAACGAAGACCTTCAAAGCCATTCCTTTTTCAAATAGAAGCAAAAAATTAACAAAATTTTATGCCATTTTTAGTTGCCACAACAAATAAACAAAGCAACCAAAACCCAGTGTATTCATAAAACTTACCCAGGGGAACAGTAGGAACATGGGGAGAAACTTCAGCGGGTTTTAAAGTGGTAGCCAAGGGGGTCTGAGGTCCGTTAACCAAAACTTCACCCAAATAGTTGAGCAGTTTTTGAGCACGATTTTGTGAGTGGCGGAACTTGAACAGTTGAGGATGTTCATCAATGAAGTAGGTATCGAGAACACCGTGAAGGAATTTTTGATTTTCCAAGACGTTCAACAAGAAGGGGATGTTGGTTTTGACACCACGAATACGGAATTCACGCAAGGCACGGTTCATCTTGGAGGCAGAGCTTTGTAAATCGGTGGCATGAGAGATGATTTTGACTAGTAGGGAATCGTAGTAGGGAGAGATGATGGCACCAGCAAAGGCGGAGGCACTGTCCAAACGGATACCCATACCCTCACCGGAACGGAATACTTCAATACGACCGGTGCTAGGTTGGAATTCGTTGGCGGGATCTTCAGTGGTGACACGACATTGGATGGCATAGCCACGGGGTTGAATCTTTTCCTGGGTATAGCCAAGTTCGGGCAAAGTCATACCTTCAGCAACACGGATTTGTGATTGCACCAAATCGATGCCAGTGATTTCTTCAGTTACTGTGTGCTCTACTTGCAAACGAGCATTGACTTCAATGAAATAGAAGTTACCCGATTCATCGCACAAGAATTCCACAGTACCGGCATTTTCATAACCAACATGTTTGGCCAAACGTACAGCAGCTTCAGTCATTTTATCACGCACCTCCTTAGGCAAACGGGGAGCAGGAGCAATTTCCACTACCTTTTGATGACGACGTTGCACGGAACAATCACGTTCATACAAATGCACTACATTACCAGCCTTATCACCCAACAATTGTACCTCAATGTGACGAGGACGTTCAATGAACTTTTCAATAAACATGGCACCATTACCGAAAGCAGCCTTAGCTTCTGAACTGGCACGTTCAAACATCTCCTCAACTTCATCCATTTTACGTACGACACGCATACCACGACCGCCACCACCATAGGCAGCCTTAAAGATTACAGGAAGACCATGTTTCTTACAGAATTCAACAGCTTCTTCTTTAGTCGTGACAGGACCATCAGTACCGGGTACAATGGGTACACCAGCTTCGATGGCAGCAATACGAGCAGCAACTTTGTCACCCATCTGTTGGACAACCGTGGGAGAGGGACCAATGAAACGAAGACCAGCATCGATGACAGCCTGAGCAAAATCACTACGTTCTGAAAGGAAACCATAACCGGGATGCACAGCATCTACATCGTTCTCCTTACAGACACGAATAATTTCAGGAATGCTTAAATAGGCTTCAACTGGTGGCAAACCCTTGCCCACCAAATAGGCTTCATCGGCCTTTTGACGATGCATGTGCATTTTATCTTGTTCGGAATAAATGGCCACCGATTTGATGCCCAATTCGGTACAGGCACGGAAAACACGAATAGCAATTTCACCACGATTCGCCACCAATACAGAGCGAATGGGTTTGTATTCAACCTGGGCGAGGAGAGAAAAAAGAGTTATAGAAACAATTTATAAGATTAGTAATTTCAAGACCCTGTTCTGAACAGGTTTGGATAGCTAAAATTTAAAGTTTTTTTTTTCGATATTTACCTGTGTAGAATAAGCATTTTTGTTATATAAATAGACACGGACTCGGGGGGCAGTCTGCCGTAAAGACTTGAAGGCGTTATGGGCAACTCCGAACAACATCTTTATGCTTTATTCAAATCTAAAAATAAAGAAATTTAAATATATTTAATAAGAATTTGTTAAAAAGGGAGATTAAGATAATAAAACAAATTTCCCGGATTAAAAATGTCCACTATGCTGGAGCATAGTGAGTTTAACGAATGGTTAAATGATCGTCAACTAACTAAAGAAAACATGTGTTCTAAATAAAAGTGTATGCATGCTGATCAACAGCGATCATTAATTTCTACTTTTCCTTATAGAATATGTCAGTCACATGATCATTTAGTAATAAACGTGTTTTCAATTTGTTTGCATGTTTTAAATAAATTTTTTGGCCTTAAAAATGCATTTTATTTAACTTGAACTTGAAAAATGTTACGATTTTGAAATGATCAGACAAAGTGTGCGTTTTTTTATAAAAAAAAAAAATCATTCCTTGTTCTCGTGCATATTATTCAACCGGTTTAATTTAATATTTAAGAAATTGTAATATAAAAAGTATTAAACAGAATACTAAATATAAAAAAAGGAATGTCTCAATATTCCAATATTCCGATCTCTTTTGCCACGGATAATCTATTCTACTACATTTCTATAATTACTACTTTAATTTACACCATTCTTTAGTTACACCTTTTTCGAATAGAACCTAATCCTAGACAAGCAATAATTTACAAAACTTACTTAGTTATTTTTAGTCTTAAAAACTACAATTTTGCCATAAATTATTAGGAGTCTTATTTACAATATCCTTGTCTTAACAAATGTTAAGAAAAGAAATGTAAAATTTATAACAATTGTTTAGTCCAACCCTTGTAAATGTCTTAACAGTAATTACAACCTGTACAATATGTATTTGATGAGGACACTCCCAACTTTAAGAAACCTTTACCAATCACTTCAGTAAATATTGGTGTAAAGAAGAGAGTAAAACCAATATCTTCATAAAGGTTCAATAAATAAAAGTGCATAGTAGAAATGTAAACAAAGTATGGGTTACAGTGGGTGACAAAAAGAATACTAGCTAACAAAATTATAGGCAAACGGAATGATTTTAAGTGAGAAAATTCTAATAATAGTCCCGACTATGTAAACTAAACTATAGTCCAGACTATAGACTAGAATTTAGTCTTGACTATATACTAGGCTATAAACTACACTATAGACTAGACTATAGACTACACTATAGACTACACTATAGGCTAGACTATAGACTAGACTATAGACTAGACTGTAGACTAGACTGTAGACTAGTGTATATATTAGACTATACTATACTACAGACTGTACTATAATATAGACTAGATTAAAGTCCAGACTATAGACTAGATTATACTCTAGACTATAGACTAGATTATAGTCCAGACTATAGACTAGATTATAGTCTAGACTATAGACTAGCTTATAGTCCAGACTATAGACTAGGTTATAGTCCTGACTATAGTCCAGACTATAGACTAGAATACAGTTCAGATTATAGGCTAGACTATAGTCCAGACTATAGTCTAGACTATAGTTCAGACTATAGACCAAAATATAGTTCAGACTATAGTCTAGACTATAGTCTAGACTATAGTTCAGACTATAGACCAAAATATAGTTCAGACTATAGTCTAGACTATAATCCAGACTATTGACTAGACTATAGTCCAGACTAAAGACATAGACTATAGAATAGACTATAGACTAGACTATATAGTCTAGCCTATAATCTGAACTGTATTCTAGTCTATAGTCTGGACTATAGTCAGGACAATAACCTAGTCTATAGTCTGGACTATAAGCTTGTCTATAGTCTGGAATATAATCTAGTCTATAGTCTAGAGTATACTCTAGTCTATAGTCTGGACTATAATCTAGTCTATAGTATAGACTATAATCTAGTCTATAGTCTGGACTATAATCTAGTCTATAGTCTGGACTATAGTCTAGTCTATAGTCTAGTCCAGGGGTCGGCAAACTACGGCTCGCGAGCCAAATGTGGCTCTTTGGATGTGGAGCTGTGGCTCTTTAGTTTCATAGACATATTTTATTTATATATTTTAAAATCTTTCCGATTCGATTAGCGAGCAATATATTAACTTTTTAACTTTGCTTAATCGTTCTGTACATGAGCAAAACAAAAGCAAATACATTTTGAGTGAGGAAAAAAGAAAACAACACAATTAGCTTTTCGCTCATTTCCTTGCTTTTATTTGCCCTTACAATCGTACATTTGAGAATAAATTCTCATTGAGCCAATTGGAATTGGATTGGATCTCTAGAAATGATCAATTTAAAAAGTAAAGCCTTTTGTTGTGGAAAATTGTCAAAGTTTAAAAGAAAGTTGGAAGAGTTACGTAAGAAGCCAACTAACAAATGAAAATTTAGAGTAATTTTTTAAACTTTAAACAACAATTCCTTTTCCATTGTGAGTAACCTTTAACATTGCGAGTAATCAATTAATAATTTGATTGTTTTAATCATCAACTTAATTGGTTTTTAATAAATTTTCTTCCAAACAAACTAAATAATTTGATTAATAAATTAATAAAATTAGATGTTATATTTATTAAATATTTAATTTATACAATTAATGAATTAATCAAATTTAAATTATGTCTCAATTATTGATATTAATTGTTCTGATTAATTCGTTATTTAAAAAAAAAAAAGTATTTTTTAATTTTTTTACAAATTTGATAATTGATATCATCATTTTGGTGATAGGTGCAAAACTTGCTTGATACAATTATTTTGATAATTGAAACATATTTTCAGTTTTTTCTGTGTAATTTATTAATAATGTGGAGAGTTTGGATACAGCTAAATACTAAAAATTTGGTATATTTAAAAACTTTAAACTTTAATCTTTTTTTAAACAATTTTATATTTTTTGCACGCTTTCTATAAAAGGGTGCCAAAAAATTTAAAATTTTTAAATATTGCACGTTTTAATGACAGTGGTCTATGAAAGATTGATATTTTTATGACATGAAATTTTTGACTATAAATAAGGGACCAGAAAGCGTATTATGGATTCATCGTTACAAAATTTGGTAATGTGATTTTGGATCCTATAAAACTTGTTTGTGTTGATTTTCATCACTATACTTGTATTTTAGCCTGTTGTATGTCGTACCTTCGTTTTCGAAAGTGGACTCTATATGGGGAGTAGGGTCAATTTTGAATCCATCATTATTAAATTTCAGTTCACCACTATGCTGGTGCTATTAAGCCTGTTTTGAGCGTTAAAGTTATTTCCTAAAGAGTAATTTACACTGTATTATAGCAAATGCCTTTTAAATTATATAACTGTCGCCCCACTCTAATAAATTTATATATCTTTATATAACAAGTGTTAAAAAAAACGCATTCGAATGGTCCATAAAAATTCAAAAAGTATTTGTAGTCAAAAATCTATAAGAAAGATTCCTTATAGAATCGTCTTGTAGATAATTAAACAAAAAATATGTTTTTGAAGTGAATTCATAAAGTATTTGTAATTTTTTAATAAACAAACATTTTGTGGCTCTTTTAAAACCCATGTTTTGTAAACTGTAAATTTTGGCTCTTCCGACTCAAAAGTTTGCCGACCCCTGGTCTAGTCTGTAGTCTAGTCTATTGTCTAGTCTATAGTCTAGTCTATAGTCTAGTCTATAGTCTAGTCTATAGTCTAGTCTATAGTCTAGTCTATAGTCTAGTCTATAGTCTAGTCTATAGTCTAGTCTATAGTCTAGTCTATAGTCTAGTCTATAGTCTAGTCTATAGTCTAGTCTATAGTCTAGTCTATAGTCTAGTCTATAGTCTAGTCTATAGTCTAGTCTATAGTCTAGTCTATAGTCTAGTCTATAGTCTAGTCTATAGTCTAGTCTATAGTCTAGTCTATAGTCTAGTCTATAGTCTAGTCTATAGTCTAGTCTATAGTCTAGTCTATAGTCTAGTCTATAGTCTAGTCTATAGTCTAGTCTATAGTCTAGTCTATAGTCTAGTCTATAGTCTAGTCTATAGTCTAGTCTATAGTCTAGTCTATAGTCTAGTCTATAGTCTAGTCTATAGTCTAGTCTATAGTCTAGTCTATAGTCTAGTCTATAGTCTAGTCTATAGTCTAGTCTATAGTCTAGTCTATAGTCTAGTCTATAGTCTAGTCTATAGTCTAGTCTATAGTCTAGTCTATAGTCTAGTCTATAGTCTAGTCTATAGTCTAGTCTATAGTCTAGTCTATAGTCTAGTCTATAGTCTAGTCTATAGTTTAGTCTATAGTCTAGTCTATAGTCTAGTCCATAGTCTAGTCTATAGTCTAGTCTATAGTCTAGTCTATAGTCTAGTCTCTAGTCTATAGTCTAATCTGTAGTCTAGTCTATAGTCTAGTCTATAGTCTAGTCTGTAGTCTAGTCTATGGTCTTGTCTATAGTCTAGTCTGTAGTCTAGTCTATAGTCTAGTCTATAGTCTGGTCTATAGTCTAGTCTATAGTCTAGTCTATAGTCTAGTTTATAGTCTAGTCTATAGTCTATCTCTAGTCTAGTCTATAGTCTAGTCTATAGTCTAGTCTATAGTCTAGTCTATAGTCTAGTCTATAGTCTAGTCTATAGTCTAGTCTATAGTCTAGTCTATAGTCTAGTCTATAGTCTGGTCTATAGTCTAGTCTATAGTCTGGTCTATAGTCTAGTCTATAGTCTAGTCTATAGTCTAGTCTATAGTCTAGTCTATAGTCTAGTCTATAGTCTAGTCTATAGTCTAGTCTATAGTCTAGTCTATAGTCTAGTCTATAGTCTAGTCTATAGTCTAGTCTATAGTCTAGTCTATAGTCTAGTCTATAGTCTAGTCTATAGTCTAGTCTATAGTCTAGTCTATAGTCTAGTCTATAGTCTAGTCTATAGTCTAGTCTATAGTCTAGTCTATAGTCTAGTCTATAGTCTGGTCTATAGTCTGGTCTATAGTCTAGTCTATAGTCTAGTCTATAGTCTGGTCTATAGTCTAGTCTATAGTCTAATCTGTAGTCTAGTCTATAGTCTAGTCTATAGTCTAGTCTATAGTCTAGTCTATAGTCTAGTCTA